AAAAAAATAAATAATAAAAAGGCTTTATATTCGTCGTATGAACCGTCAAAAATCGATGAAAACAAAGACGTTTGAAATAATTGAGCAAAAGCCATGGGCAGTTTCACGTTACACAATATAGTTAGGAAGTATGGCTTAAAATTATACATATTTTCAACACACAAAAAATATTTAAAGTGAGGAAAGGTTATGAAGAGTGTGAAGAAATAAATATTTTGGCCTATATTATATTTGGCGCGTTTCCTTGTACTTCATTCAGTCAACGTGGATATAATTCTGATGGATTTTCCTTCACTAACTTACTCATGTGCTACGGATTACAAGATTAATAAGAAAATATGCAAGTGCCACCGTTAAACGAATTAAATAGCATTGTTTACGCCATTTTTTTATAATCGTGACGTCACACCTAAAACCATTTCTTAATAAGAGAATAGCATCTGCCAGATACCAAGACCTTACTTCGTCCACTTCTTCGGCTGTTTCGACAGAAAAATACAAACCAGCCTAACCTAGTGGAGAAATGCATTTCACATATTTATTACCCAGACAAGGCGTCCCCAGTTTCATGGTCTGCAACACGTCGGAGGTGACTTTTCTTTGCCGCAAACTCAACAATTCTGCACGTCGCCGATTGTGGCGTTGCGGTTAAATTTTGCTATTTTTTAAACCTTTAGTTGAAGTTTTTTTTTATGCTCTACAAGACTACACTGTTAGATTTGCTTCATCCGGTGTGGCCCTCTTATATATAACTTCCAATTTACCAAACTAAGAACTGGAAAAGTTCTAATTATAGTAGCGAAAGACCATTGCATTAATAACTTTCAAGAGCGGCATATTGTACATCCCTGTTGCCAAATATCAAAAAGTGTTAAACGTTCTCCTGGAGCTTCAACTTTCCTTATTTTAGTGTCACTCTGTTCAATTATGGGTGTCACGAGCTTCAAAAGATGACTTTAGTGAGCTTTGTCCAATTTGAGAAGTTTCCTCATTTTATTTGGGTCTTCCAAGACAACTTCCAAGTCGATGGTAAACACTCAGTCTCTTGTCTCTTTAGCCGTGAACGAACACAAATTCGTTTTTGGATCTCACTTTCTGCTCCGTTCAGCAACTAAAACAAAATTTAACATCGCAGCACACCGTCGCTGCCTCGGCGCCATTGTTGTGTTTACACCTGCGAGGATCGTCGTTTGCGCGACTGACGCGATCATTCTTTTAACCCATGTGACTGCATCTCAGAAAGTAGAAAAATTGACAAAAAAATGACGGAGAAATACTATCGCATGGTTTTAGATAGCACCTTTATAAGGTGCTTCCCCTACGAGTCCATATGGATATATGAGTTCGAAGTAACTAAGTACTAGATATTGAACTAACGTGCTGAAGCAGTTGAGATATATACTAGCGCTCAGTAACTTTTAAGAAGTCATTAATGCGGCTATCGAGAGTCAAGAATAGAATAGTCTACGGCTACCCCCATGAGTGTACTATATCCGATAATAACAGCTTGTCCTGCGATACTCTACGGTGAATCTATAAGTAAGTGATTTCTAGTCAAACGCTGATGAAATTTTGCAGCTGAGTTATTAGTTATATTAGAACACCTCTAGATTTTTTACTAATATAGGCCTTGAATTGTTGTGAGTATATATATAAATAATATAAATAAGTTGATGTGCTGAAGGGCACGCATAGATAGGTGTTTCAATATAATGACAGGAAAATACACTCTGCAAGGGGGGCATGAAACGCCAAAATAAATTCCTGAGCGTAATAAAATTTCTACGAACTTATAGTCGGCGAGGTACGCGTACACATATATAAGGTCACATAATCTAGAAGAATTATAACTTCCATTAGCATTTGATACATTGTGAGAATATATGGTAGAGCTAAATACCATAAACGTACTTGCTCAATTCTATTTTACATATATAACACTCATACTCATTAAACAAATGTTTATAATTATAATTATCATTTATTCTTATGAGTTATTATTTATATTTTAAGTAATAATATTAATGTATATTTAATATATAATATTATAATTTATAATTAAATTACTTACGTATATATTTCATACACTTGAGGTTAAGTGTAGCCTATTATTTCGCAGCTCTGTCGGATCGGCCCCTGGGAATGGACCAACGCATAGCCTTACTGTTGCTGCGACTAATAGGGATCATGAGCACCATATCATTTGCCATGAATAAGAGAGCGCTACGATAAGAGGCATACCATCTAAGCCATAGCTATCCACATAGTAGTGCCGACACTATACTATAATGTAATAATACTACTAGATGATCTTGATTCAATGACAACTACCTACGCAATTAATTGCTTTTCTTTTGTAAAAGTAAACAGCTAATAGTATTTTTTATAAATTAAACCGAGAAACTAAATCGGTACCTGTTTCTTCATAAAATCCCACAGTATTAAATAATTTAGACTATATAATCAACTTAGAACATGCAATGCTAACCCTTTACGAGGA